CTTTTCACCTACCACTTATAATCCCTTAAAATCTCTTTCTTGTAGCCAATACATTTGTTTAATTGTTTATCTTTACCAGTGAATTTGCCAGAAGTATCTGGTAAATGTGCACAGGTTTTACAATGACTGCTGTAGATCCACTTTTTACTGAAGTTATGAACCAATTAATAAATTTGCACTGCTCATACTCAAAAAAACAACGCAAGATTGGTCCTAAGATTGGGCCCCTTCATACCTTTAAAAATCCGGCTCTTAGTTATGCAAAGTATTTAGGTCCCTAACATCTGGGCCACAGACAGGGCCGTCCCACAACATTTTGGCGCCTGAGGCGGGGAGCTCAAATGACACCCCCATACCCTCTCACTGCACCAGCAGTAGACACAATATTCTCCACTCTGGGTCCTAGTGGCACCCCTCCCCTCCCCCACAGTCTGGCACCTGAGGCGGCCACCTCAGTTCACCTCATGGTAAGGCCAGACCTGGCCACAGGTAATTTGGAGAGCCTTTTCTTTGTCACTGCAAAGGAAAATTCATGCAGGTCTCTTTTTTATTCTGTGGGAATGAAAAAAGTAGTGTCTTTTGTGGTAAAAATCAGTTCTAAATGGTCTAGGTGTCTGATGCCCCAAATCCTCCTTATATTACATGGAAAAGTGTAGAAAAGGAAGGTGAGCAAAGCCAATGAGTTAAGAGTCTCGTGTTTTTTCCTTTTAGTGTGAAACAGAATGAGACAGTGAATAAGGCACTAGAGTAGGATTAGGAAACCAGGTTCTGTCGCTTTATATATATCTGTGTGCTTCATTTCCCCATTTCTAAAATGTCTATGATGATATTACCTTTCTTTGTAAAGCCACTTGACGTAGACAGATGAAAAGTGCTTGCAAGAGCTATTTACTGGTAATTGGCTAGTGATGTTGGAAGTAACTCAATCGTCACGAAGCAAAAATAAAAGTAAACATCTCATAGTACCAAAATGGCTGTTTGGTATTTCCAAAAATGCATGCAAATTTGTTGATTTTATATGTAAAATATTCAAAATACATCTAGTACTGCATCAAGGCAGATTAATGACCATCTATTAGCATTCTATTACATTAAAGTCACATATACACGGCAATAAATCAGTTTATCCCTGTAAAATAAGACTAGAACAGGATCTTTTTTTCTTTGTGCTTTATGTCACTTGAGCTGTTTTAAAAGTCATCCATAGTTGAAGCTGTGAAAGATCATTCATGTCCAGAGTGAAGTGGTCTCAGAACTCGAATATCTGAAGGATACGTCTCTGTAAAATGAAATGTTCATTATGCATTTAACAGTCACAACTTTATGCTACAGTTTGAATAAAAAATGCAGCATCACTTATGCAAAATTTTGTAGCTAACTTTTCTTCTTTGTGTGTTGTTTCTGGGAAACTGTTCAATCAGATGCTAAGACTCCCTAGTTTAAAAACTTGGCTCCCACAGCAATCTGCTGATACCCCTTGGCACTCTAACGGGAAGTTTGCAACCTGGTATGAATTCCCGTGCTACAGGTGTAGAGGGGTGTCTTGTGGGGAATGAACTTGGGAAAAGAGAGCGTTCTATTACACGGGAATGCAGGGGCAAGATTAGAAAGGCAAAGGCACAAAATGAGATCAAACTAGCTACAGGCATAAAGGGAAACAAGAAGACTTTTTATAAATACATTAAAAGCAAGAGGAAGACCAAGGACAGGGTAGGCCCACTGCTTAGTGAGGAGGGAGAAGCAGTAACAGGAAACTTGGAAATGGCGGAGATGCTCAATGACTTCTTTGTTTCGGTCTTCACCGAGAAGTCTAGAGGTGTGCCTAACGTAGTGAATACAAGCAGAGAGAGGGTAGGTTTAGAAGATAGGATTCACAAAGAACAAGTTAAAAGTCACTTAGGAAAGTCAGCAAGTCACCAGGTCCTGATGAAATGCATCCCAGGATACTCAAGGAGCTGATAGAGGAGGTATCTGAGCCTTTAGCTATGATCTTTGAAAAATCATGGCAGACAGGGGAGATTCCAGAAGACTGGAAAAGGGCAAATATTGTGCCCATCTATAAAAAGGGGAATAAGAACAACCCAGGAAACTATAGACCGGTCAGTTTAACGTCTGTCCCAGGGAAGATAATGGAGCAGGTAATTAAGGAAATCCTATGCAAACACTTGGAAGGTAATAAAGTGATAGGGAATAGCCAGCATGGGTTTGTGAAGAACAAGTCATGCCAAACTAATCTGATAGCTTTCTTTGATAAGATAACGAGCCTTGTGGATAAGGGAGAAGCGGTGGATGTCATATACCTAGACTTTAGTAAGGCATTTGATACGGTCTCGCATGATATTCTTATTGATAAACTAGGCAAATATAACTTAGATAGGGCCACGATAAGGGGGGTGCATAATTGGCTGGATAACCGTAGTTAGAGAGTTGTTGTTAACGGTTCTAAATCCTGCTGGAAAGGGATAACAAGTGGAGTTCCTCAAGGGTCTGTTTTGGGACCCGTACTGTTCAATATCTTCATCAATGATGTAGATATTGGGATAGAGAGTACGCTTATTAAGTTTGCGGATGATACCAAACTGGGTGGGGTTGCGACTTCTTTGGAGGATAGGGACATAATTCAAAATGACCTTAGCAAGTTAGAGAAATGGTCAGAGGTAAACAGGATGAGGTTTAATAAAGAGAAATGCAAAGTGCTCCACTTAGGAAGGAACACTCAGTTCCATACATACAAGATGGGAAGCGACTGTCTAGGAAGGAGCATGGCAGAAAGAGATCTAGGGGTCGTAGAGGACCACAAGCTGAATATGAGTCAACAGTGTGATGCTGTTGCCAAAAAAGCAAATATGATTCTAGCTTGTATCAACAGGTGTGTTGTAAGCAAAACTCGTGAAGTCATTCTGCCGCTCTACTCTGCACTAGTTAGGCCTCAGCTGGAGTACTGTGTCCAGTTCTGGGCGCCACATTTCAAGAAAGATGTGGAGAAATTGGAAAGGGTACAGAGAAGAGCGACAAGAATGATTAAAGGTCTAGAGAACATGACCTATGAAGCCAGGCTTCATGAACTGGGCTTGTTTAGTTTGGAAAAAAGAAGATTAAGGGGGGACATGATAGCGGTTTTCAAATATCTAAAAGGGTGTCACAAGGAGGAAGGAGAAAATTTGTTCCTCTTGGTTTCTGAGGACAGGACAAGGAGTAATGGGCTTAAAGTGCAGCAGGGGAGGTTTAGATTGGACATTAGGAAAAAATTCCTAACTGTCAGGGTGGTCAAATATTGGAATAAATTGCCAAGGGAGGTGGTGGAATCTCCCTCTCTGGAGATATTTAAGAACAGGTTAGATAGACATCTGTCAAGGATGGTGTAGGTGGAGCTTGGTCCTGCCTTGAGGGTGGGGGGCTGGACTCGATGACCTCTTGAGGTCCCTTCCAGTCCTATTATTCTATGATTCTATGATTATCATAGAAACGAATCAGCAACAATCCAATACAGAAGCTGAGTAGGAAAGTAAGCTTCATTTTTAGAAGCAGTTTAAAATACTGCTAGTATATTTTCAAAAATGTCTTTTTTTCCTTGTAAAAACTTAAAAAACAACAAATAGTCTGGTAGCACCTTAGAGACTAACAAAACATGTAGATGGTATCATGAGCTTTCATGGATACAACCCACTTCTTCAGGTGACCCTGTGGGTTGTACCCACGAAAGCTCATGATACCAGCTACGTGTTTTGTTAGTCTTTAAAGCGCTACCAGACTATTTGCTGTTTTTAAAGTTTTTCCTGTTACAGACTAACCCAGCTACCCCTCTGAAGCTTTTTTCCTTGTACAGGCAGTCCCCGAGTTACGCGGATCCGACTTATGTCGGATTTTTTTTTTTTTAAAGTTACAGACTAACACAGCTACCCCTCTGAGACATAGAAACTAATAGGAAACAGATAGAGAGACATGCTCACATTTAAAATCTTATTTGACTTTGGTACATTGCAGGACTCCTGATTTCACACACCACAGTAAAATGCAATGGAAAAGAGGAAAAAACTGAAAATCTTTAACAGAGGAAACAGAGGAAAGGGAATAGGAGACATTCATTGCTGTAGTTGCAAGCTGCTAGGGCAGGGGTGGGCAAATACAGGCAGTCCCCGGGTTCCGTACAAGATAGGGACTGTAGGTTTGTTCTTAAGTTGAATCTGTATGTAAGTCGGAACTGGTGTCCAGACTGATCAGTTTCAGCAGCGGCTGAATCTGGACGCCAGTTCCGACTTACATACAGATTCAACTTAAGAACAAACCTACAGTCCCTATCTTGTACGTAACCCGGGGACTGCCTGTATCATTAGAGCATGAAAATGATCACCAGCTGGAGAACATATGAGAGATTTTGTCTCACTTTAAATGAGGGTTATTCACTAGTAACTGAAGCTCTCGCATACACAGGGTACACTGGTAGCACCCTTTGTAGCACTCTTATGCTCACTCCTGCCCCTCCCCTGATTGTTCCTAACCATTTTGAGGATGAGGCCATAAAAGAGGGCCACATGAGTTTCTTCCTCTGCCTCCTCAAGTCCAAGATTGTTAGCAAGACTCCCACGAAGAGGGAAAGCTGGGCAGGGAGTATGAATGTTCCTCTCAAAGAACTCTGGTTACAGGTGAGCAACCTTAATTTCTTCTTTGTGCGGCCTCTGCATATTCATAGCCATGGGATAGTTTGATAATTACTGTCATCTGAGGAAGGTGGGACATGGATTCCTAATGAAACAGTGACTGAAGCACTCTCTAATATCCATCTGGGTTTTGCTTTCATTCTACGAGAGGAGCAGGGCATCTTTATTGGGATCTTGGGCTTTTATCCCGTGAGGGGCTAGGGGCCAACACAAACCACTCGGGACTCATGGAACAAGTGGTTAGGGAACCAGAAGATTAGGCCATTTGTGCTTCTTGCAGTCACTTGGCTTGGAGCCTGTTCTGATGCTCTTTGTGAGCTCTTGAGCTGAAGGTGCTGCAGATCAAGCACCATCAAGGAGAATGTCCGTCACTGAAGCCAACCAACATCTCCCATGGGGATCTAAGTGGAAATACAGCAGGGCAAGAGCACTTAAATCCTGATCCCTTTTCCTTCCGATCTGCCAGAGGATCTGTAATCCTACCCAGCAGTATGGGAACTAATAAAAATGAATACAAGAAATTCTTTCATACAGAAAACATGCATGCTGACGCTGCAAACCCTACTCCTGCCTCACTACAAAATCTAAGTGAAGCACTGGGTCTTTGAAGAGATTCAATCTGGGCTGGATCAGCCTGGAGAGGTTTCTGGTCTGGTTGGAAGGATCTAAGGCAGCCCAAGCACCATACCCTCTAATACAGCCTTGTCCTCACAATGTTAAGAAACAGTGAGAGAAGGGGCAAGAGCACCACAAGGGATAGTTGCTGGAGCTGCACAACCAATGCATCCCCTGACTGGGAATGCGCAGAGACCACTCAAGTGTGTTAATTTCTATCTCTATTTTCTACTCACAGGAATGGGCTAAAAAAAAAAATCAATGTGAGTATTTCCCAAATCCAGCTGTGCTGTGCTCTCAGTCCCTCTGAAAAATCTCTATAGGATTGGGAGCATTTTCCAGAGGCTCTCCCACCCCCAATCCTGACAACTAACATCTATTTGAAAGCCTGAGAAAGGAGAGAGGGTGCAGCTGACATTTCAACACTGACATAAGCCCTGTCCCTCATGGAGCCATCTGTTCTTAGGAGGGTCCTAGTTTTGTGGTGGTAGGGGGTGGCTATGTGTACAGATTCTGGAACTACAATTTGCAGCCCATAAATTAAATATAACAATCTCTTACCCACAGTGGTTTCAAGCCCTAGCTGAAAGTCTTCAGACTATTAACTTGTGGGGCATTTGTACTTGGGTAACACAACACCTAGAATAAGTTGTCTGTAAGTATCTTTTTGTATTTATATATTTATAAATGATTATATGTTTATAAGTATCTTTTTGTCTGTATATATTTAATAGTGGGAACACTTTGGCAAGGCCAGATCATAATTAGCCTTTTCATACCTC